TATTTTATTTTTTCTAAATTAGCAAAAAGTCCGCAAACAGTCCGGGAGAGCTGCAAAACAACAGCGAGTCACATGGAGCAACATATACAGTACTGTACTCCATGTACAGTGTATGGGGGGAAAAAAAAATACTTTTTATTTATTTTTTTTTTTGTGAATATGTTTGAAAAAAATCCGCGATGTACCAAATCCGCGATAAACGAACCGCGAAATACCGAGGGATCACTGTACTATAAAAAAATATTGGCAGAGTTGGTGGGAAATTTTAGAGATTGTCTCTTAGTGTTTGAATTGTTACCTGTTCCATATTGTCACAAATGGATGAAAATTTCAGATTGACATTCGCTGTTCAAATTCATCCCAAACAATGAATCTGGGAAGTATCCAATGCGTGCCACTTTTTCCATATTTTTTTAATGGTCCAGCCATATTTCGTCATCGAATTAGTTAAAATGTTTTGCCCAGTGAATAATTTAGGGATGAACTGAGTTGTTTATTATGAATTCATTCATTTTTAATATGCCTTTTTATGTTCAATACATTTTATCTTCTTATTATGTACACTACAGGATGACAATTGGGCGCTGCAGGGGGTGGCGGTTTTGGAAGTTTGTTTTCAACAAAATACAGGTTCTGTCCATTTTAGTGATGATCGGATGCCGAATTGAGGAGCGTTTTCCCCAAATAAGTCGGGAAAAGTAAAGTGAAGTATTTATTTTTAAAAGCGCATATGCAATTATGGAAGTTGCATGTATGTACATCCATCCATCCATCCATCCATCCATCCATCCATCCATCCATCCATCCATTTTCCGATCCGCTTATCCTCACAAGGGTCGCAGGGCATGCTGGAGCCTATCCCAGCTGTCTTCTGACAGTAGGCTGGGGACACCCTGAACCGATTGCCAGCCAATCGCACGGCACACATAGACAAACTACCGTCCACGCTCACACTCACACCTCTGGCCAGTGTTTTATTAACATGCCGCTCAAGTTTTTTGGAATGTGTCCCTGTGTTGAGTTTGCATGTGCCTGCGTGGGTTTTCTCCGGGTACTCCAGTTTCCTTCCACGTAAGAGAGTGTTCATTCATAAAGTGTTGAACACGCAGGATGAATGTGCATGAGTCTATGATGGTCCTTTTGAGTAGTTGTGTTTTGGCAGTTTCATAAAAATGTTTTGAAATCAAGAAATCATTGTTTTACGTAATTTCAATATGATTCAACAATAATCGTGATTTTTTTTCTTCTTTCCATATTGGCCCAGCCCGAGTTCCAGCTAATGTGTGGCTGATATCTTCATCAAGAACATATACTGTATCTTCATATAGTTGATATAAATCCCATATATCCTTGCATCAACTGTTTTTGAAATCACTTTTGCTTTGCGGTGTTTAATAAAAAGAAAAAAAAAGCACAAGTAAACATGACCAAATCAGAATCAATATTGAACAATGCACTGTAAATCTTATTGAAATTGTCAATAAAACTACCATTGCTGGCGTTGAACCTCTGTCTTACAGAGTATAGAGATACACCAATAACGGCTTTATTTGTAAACCAAATAAAATGCTCACTAAAAGTGTTTGTTTTCTGTATAATATGTGACAATTTACATTTTCACATGATTATTTAATCATCACGAAAACAATTCTCATTATATTATTTACCAAAGCGCACACAAACAAATTCATTTATTTATGCATTCATTTATTTGTCTGGTTGTTTTAAACACGAATACTTCGTGTATGGCTGAACTAAATCAATCAATTGAAGGTCGTTCATTTTTCCTAATATTCCAGCGTGGTGTAGTACTTGTTTTCCCTCACAAGAGGGCACTGTTCCATTACACTGGAATGTGTCCATTGTCCCGTTGACCGTGCTTAAGGTTCAAACATTCCCTTGAACTAATGGTTTGCTCTCTTTATTAAATTACGATCTAAATTGTCTTTAGCCAATAAAAGTAATGATTTTAACACGAGCTGGTGTAAACAGCGGTTAATAAAAGCTCACCATGGCCGTAGTGTTGACCTTGCTTAGTAGTTGTAGTTTTGATATGAAGAAACCAGTCCGTTTATGAGCTTGAAAGTATTTTTTTTAATAATCTTTATTGAACAAATGAGCTTGAAATTAGTTTTTACTCCAGCAGCACCAAGAACGTGTTACAGGCTTACTCGTGTAGCAAATCAACCATATAGCTCTCGCGACACCTTGTGGACGGGTGGTATAACGGCAGGTTAGAATGGCTGTGTCATTGGGGCATTACCAAAACAATAATAAACAGATCTACAGTAGTGCTGACCTATTTTAAAACAGATTCTCCTCGCTGAGAGTGATCTGCGGAACGTTTACCTCATTTAAACTGTTAGTTGCCAAAGTTGGCCACTCCAATTTATTTTGTTGTATTTTAATTTATCACCGTCCTGGATTAATGGCCCTTTTTTTGGCTGAATTCAGTGACTTCTCAGTTTACCATCACGAAATTTGAGAGAATCTTCATGCTGGGTGATTGTGAATGAATGTGCCTGGAAATGACACCACAAACAGTTTAGTTAATAACTAATAATACCAAAGAATCTTTTAATTTGGGTTTAAATTTTATTTTGCAAATCTAATCTCCACCAATTAGAGAAATCCGAGGGTCATTTTCGACACCATTAAGTAGTATTAGTGGTGCGCAGCCACTTGCTCAACCTGTATCCTCTGATCAGGATTGTAATAAATGTTGATGGTTTTTTTTCGTTTTTTTATGAAGAAGGCCACCATTTTAAGGCCTGCGTAATTCCCCCTTCCATCTCCTCCCTTCCCAAACCCTTCACACAACAGCCAATTGTGGATAATTTCTTTCCGGTCTTTTTACAAAATTGGGCATATCTTGTGCGTACAATGAAGACTCGATTAGATATCCTGCCCATAACTTTGCTAAAAAAATGCTTTCAGCACCAATGGTCCATCTCTGCTGTCCATAATCAATTGGTCACTGTTTCTGATGGTGCCCCGTCTTTTTTCAAGCAAGCAGTTGTGAAGCCACTTCTCAAAAAGCTAAATCTTGACCTCTCAGTTCTTGGCAATTATCGGCTCATTTCCAAGCTGCCCTTTGTGCACAATTTTTAGAAAATGAGTGGCAAACAAGTTCATCTTTGCTTTAAACATTTAAACATTTTTCGACAACTTTCAGTATTGTCAATTGCATTCAACAGAAACAGCTCCTCTAAGGGTTTCTAATGACATCAAATGTGGCTTCTGATGCTGGTAAATGCAGGATCTTTTTCAGCTCAGCTCGGCCTTTGATAGCTTTGACCACCACATCCTTGTTAATGCTGAGGTACTGAGTCGGCATTTCAGGGACTACCCTTCAGTCGTTTAAAATCTCATCTGTCCAATAGATCTTTCTCGGTGGCAGTTGGCCCTCACAAGTTACAGTCTGTCCCCTTCTTACGCGGGGTGCCCCAAGGTTCAAGTTTAGGGCCTATCATTTTTACACTATATTTAATTTCTCTTATAGATGTTATCAGCAATTTTGAAGGTGTTTCATAGTACATGTACGCGGATGACCTTTAGTTGTATTTTTCGTTCAACTCTGATAGGATACATGAAAAAGATGTATTGCAGGTTCGTCTGACTGTAATTAAGGATTGGATGACTCGCAACTCTCTTCAGTTGTGGTAATTGTTTCCCCTGACATTTTAGTTTCATAAGTGGCTAGCTGCTTGGGGTCTCTTATTAGAAACGTGCACCCTAGTTTGAGAAACCTCAGGGTCATATTTGATCAGGCCATGCTTCTTGGTGAGCACATCAAAATCACAACCAGCTCCTTCTTTTTTCACCTTAAAAACATTTCCAAACTCAAATCCATGGTACCCCATTCCGAGCTAGAAATGATCATCCGTGCTTTCGTTTCTTCACGTCTAGGCTACTGCAATTTTTTCTTCACGTGTCTCAACGAAAGTTCATCAGACCACCTCCAGTTAGTTCAAAATGAAGCTTCTGTCAAGATCGCATGTATTCATTTAGTCATACCATTGCTGTTTTAGCCTATTTGCAATGGCTCCCAGTTCATTTCTGGATCCGATACAAAATTCTAACTTACAGGGCACTTACAGAGCACTTACAGGGCTCTCCATGGTCAAGCACCTGCATAATTAGTCGATCTTGCTTCTTTTAACTGTCCTGTCAGGTCACTGAGGTCTGCTGACCGCCTTCTACTGGTTGTACATAGTACAAAATTAACAACTAAAGGTGAGAGAGCTTTTGAGTCGGTTCCGTCAAAGTGGTGGAATGCACTTCCATACGAGCTGAGAGCAACCTGCTCTGAGAACATTTTAAAAATGTAACTCAAAACATATCGTTTTGCATTGTTTCTGTATTTCACTTTTTTTTTTGTTGTTGCTGTTGTTGTCTGTTGTTAATCTCTTCTGATATTTGATTGTAATAGTATTTTGTAAGACCTTTCTGTGAGAAGTACTACATGAATAAAACAAATGTAGTCCAATGTTTTTGGTCATCATGGGGGTTCGGCGATATGCTTTGTCCGATCCCTCAACTCGTACTGTACCTGTTTGGACTGAGCGACTCTAACAGGTTTCTAGTTTCTGTTTTGAGTTGTCTCCAGCAGGTGGCAGTAGAGGGCTCTTCCTCCCATTCCACACCTGTTCCTCGTCATATCATTATGTGTCACCTGTGAGAAGAGACTGTCAAGCCATCACTAATTGTCGGATAATTCGCCTTGTCTTTTTGCGACAAGTGATTTTGCTTTCTTGATTTCCCTTTGCCGTTTGCCAGCGCTTTTGGTTAAATTCATCCTTATCCTGGTTATTTTGTTTCCAGCGTTTTATGATGTTGTAAATTGAGGGGTTTGTTGTTTTTGAATGGATGGCTCGACTTTACGAAACGGCAAAAGGAGAGATAGATTCCGTTTGAACGCAGCTTGATTGAAAAGGCCGTCTGCACCGCAGCACGATCGAAAAAACACTTGTGTAGCTCCAAAGTAATAAAACCAGAGCACGGTTTCCAAATGACGGGTGTTTAATAGTGTCTTTGGGGTTGTCTTGGTACACCAACACCGTGAAAACTGTCGGTAAAATAAAATACATTCAGCAATTCACAATACAGAAACAATATACGAAGCTAATCCAAAATGTGGGCTAAAGCTAACCTCATTGCCGCCTGCCACTTCGGAGGTCTTGGTCAACAAAAAATACACTTTCGATATCTACATCACAAATATAAGGATTACAGTCAGATCTTGCATTAAGTTTCATATACACAACCAAATAAATCATAAAATACCTTGAACAGATAGCGAACAGTCCTTGTAGCTGCTGCTCTTCGTATGTCTTGTCTGCACGTGTCTGGGCAAAAACCACCTTACCACAGCGCAAGTCTCGCAATAATAGCGATAACATCGAAATAACGAAACTTAATTTTACAAAATAAATATTTCACAACGTGAATACATAATGTGCATAAAACAAACAAAAAATGTCCTCTTTGCCATGAAGTTGAAACAAAATATTATTCATTTCCAACTAAACTATTCTGATGACACTTACAACTTGGCAACTAAAATCACTTCCTGCTTTCCCTTACTTCAACAGCCAATAATAAGCTATCAACCTAAAAACACTTCTAAGCAATCATTAAACAACAGAATGCAATTTAGGTCATCTTAACATGCAATAATATGATGCTCAAACATAAAATGATAATAATATAACATCAGATTAAAATGTACTTTGTCGGTCTTGAGACCTTATTTGTAAATAAACCTTTTTCTACTCCATCTTATCCGTGTCTGCGTTTGTGGGTTCCGCTCCTGTTCCGGAATGGTCTGGAACCATAACAGGGGCATAAAACCTCAGATAACTCAGCTCCTAGAATCATTGGGACACAAATATTTGAGTTTGCAGCCATGCATAACATCTGCAACAGCTGTATTATTCTCTTAGGAAGACAATTAATACACATAGTCGTTATCATTTTGTGTGTCTGTTATGTGTGCTCTGACAAAATGCATTCCTTTGTGTCCTTGAGATTCCTTGTTTAGTCCTCGAAGGATTTAGCGCTGAAAGTCGAGGTCAGCCCGCTCCCTCGACTCATCACAACGGCATATTTTATAGGTCAAATGGTGATTACAGGGTAATTTAATCTGTGACATCGCACTGGGTACAAGTAGACATGAAACATAATCCCATGAGCACCTCCCTGACCTCTGGGACTCTTTGTTTGATTGGGTTAAACATCTGTAGCCGGATACTCTTCACTTAGTTATGTGGAATCAAGAAATAAATACAACGGTGGCAGGAAGTCACCATCCTGTGCATTGTACAAACCAACCTCGCATGAGTCCTCTTGTGGGAAAAGTTTGGTCGAATGAGAAGAGAATGCAGAATTGTGAAAAAAAAAAGTAAGACTCGTCATTTCTTCACATGGGCTGTTTTTCCGCAGCAAATAGGACAGAATAACAGTGAAGACTGACGTGTACTCTGCTTACATGAGACAATAAGAGTCAAAGGGTGAGTCCGATTATGATCATGTGTATTATTTGTAATTATTGTGGATTGTGTCCTGATAAGCAGCCTGCGATTAGCCCGCTATGATTTTGCACAAAGCAAAATGTGCATGAGTCTGAGGTGTTCATAAAGATACTCAGATCATATTTACGCCCCGTTTGTGACTCGGTTTTTTTGCTTTTATAGTTTAGCAGGCTAGCATGGAGGTGACCTCACTGTCGTCTGACCTCTGTGGGGGGGCGGTGTGGTGTGGATTCAGTTCTTTTCTCAGCGATGGCCTGATTCTAACAGGAAATGGTTGTCTTTTGCTAGCTGTCCTAGGTGATTGACTTGCAACCAATCCAAGGTGTTGTCCAACTTTCAGCAGGTGAGATGGGAAAGCACCATTTAATTGGTGGGGAAGGACTTGACCACTGGACTGCTCGAAATGGCTCAGGGATTGCAAATGAATGGGCAATACTTGTCTCATCGTGGACACTGGCAACCGTGATATGCCACGACTGGCCAATGCTTCCCAAACAGATTTAATAATGCCAGCTTATGTATTGCTTATCAACTCTTTGAGAATGTCATTCATCCACTGGGGGAGCAGCTTTGTGAGTTCAAGTATAGTTCACTGATGGCCCCAAATCCCATCAAAAGGCTAATTTGGGCTTTGGAGCAAATAATGTCAGCATCCATTCTGGTTGTCTAAATATGAAATATTGATATTTTCCTCGATGTGCCAGGCTACTTTGACTTCCTGCCCTACTCAGCAATAACGTCTTTGCAGGTAATTTTATCACAAAATTGTGGTAAAAAGTAGCTGTTGTACAGCTGAGCTCACTATTTAGCAACACAGAATTATTATTTATTGTTTTATTGTTTTTATGTCTTCCCTTATGTGTGTGTGTGTATATATATATATATATATA